AGAAATCCTGTTAACCCACATTTTAAATAATTGTTTAATGTTAAAAGGTTGAAATAAAAATGAAAAATAAAGCTCTTCTCTTGGAAGAGAAAACTCCTTTGGTACAGCTGAATCTAGGAAAGTGGTTTTCTTCTTTCATTCTTATTCACAAAAAATATGTCTACACTCTTAAGAGTGCTTAAATGTCAATTGTTAGAATTATAAAAAAAAAGAGAAAGTGTTATAATCATAAATAACTCAAAAATTGTTTTTAGAAACTTAAAAATTCTAACAAAACCATCCTCAATTAAAATGGTAGGTTTTATTGGTTGGTTTTATGCCCCAGGTGTTTCGAGTAGGGGTCCTAGAGATTTCCAGAAAGGTCCTAAAGGAGCCGGGAAGGGTAGGGAGGTTTTCCTAGGTAGAGAATAGCACGTGGAAAGGTAAGGGGGTCAAAAGCCACAGTATGTGGCCAAGGGACCTGCAAGGTTTCCAGCGTGGCTAACACCGTGGTGTAAGCTAAGAGAAGTGAAACTGGAGATAAGGAGGGATGAGATCATGAAGGCTAGAGGCATAGAACAAAAATTTTAAGCAACAGATTTGCATTTCAGTAAGATCGCCCTGTTGGAATATGGAGGGACAATACTGGAGGTAAGTGAGTCAGCTTTCATTCTATGGCCATAACCCACGTGACAAATGCTGAGATTCAAACTAAGAAAGTAGCATTAGAGAAAGAGGGATGGGAACTGGATTTCCAGTAGATTCAGTGCACTTATACCTATTGAATATCGGGGATGGGGAAGTGGGTGGAAGCAAGACTGACTCGCAGGCCTACAGCTGGAGTGTGGCAGTGCCTCATAACAATATAGAAAACACTATAAAAGAATAGGCCTGTGAGGGTAAGGAAATGACGAGTTTACTCTGGAGCATGCTGAGCCCGAAAGGCTAAGGATTAGATGTGAAAATCTGGAATGCACGTTCTCTGATATCTCAAAAGTAGTAGTTTTATCTTTTGAAATCCCTTATCCAGGGTTGTTTTTTATTCTCTTAAACTATACAGACAGTCCCCCAACTTACAATGGTTAAACCTTACAGTGATGTCAAAGTATTACACATCCAGTAGAAACTATCCTACAAAGTTTGGATTCTGGTCTTTTTCTAGGCTGGCAATACGCAGTACGATACCCTCTTGTGATGCTGGGCAGCAGCGAGGAGCCACAGCTCCCAGTCAGGGGATGATGTGGGTAAACAACAAACACTACAGTGTACTGCGTTGCCAGCATTTTTTGGACAGTCTGTGCTGAGCACGTTTGCGGTAGGCTAGCCCAGGCTATGATGTTCATTATGCTAAATATAGTAAATGAATGTTCGACTTACACTATTTTCAACTTAGTATGGGTTTATCATAACCCCATTGTAAGTTGATGAGCATCTCCATATAAAAGGGCTTTCACGATGATAAAAACAATGCTTTAACTGCAACCTGATGGTCAAAAGACAGATTCTCTCTAAAATGAGGAATCACTTCTCTCTTCATAAAGAGGAAGTGTAGTGTAGAATGGGTTCTGGTTTGAATCTTCTTTCTTGTAATAGCTTTATGCATTTGGATACATCACTTAACTTCTTTATTTGCTTCAGCTTTCTTTTCTGAAAAAATGGATATAATAGTATCCCCCATGACATAGCTATTATATAATTAATAAATTAATATGAATACACACTTAAAACAGCACCTAGAACACTGAGGTGTAACTAGTTCTTATTTTATTGCTGCAAATGATCCCTCTCCTGAGGATGATACGTCCTTTCCGCAATCACGTTGCTGTTGTTAAATGTTTACACTGTGCTTTACCGTTTATCAGTCACATGAATATTTCTTTTGTTCTTCACAATCCTCAATGTTAGCCAAATGACTTGCTTAAAGTAAAACATTAATGGCAAATCTGGAATTCCAACTAACGGCCTATAACTCTAGAGCTGTGATTTTCTTCAAATTGAGGAAAACAGTCAACTCTTAATTATTCTAAAGTATATATCTATATGGTGACTCTTGATCTCTTCTTATACATCTAGTAAAAGGAGAATGGCCAAATATAACAGTCAATTTTGCTACTTATAGCAACAACTATTTGGAAGTTTGTCAGGAACAAAATTAAAATGAATTACTAAAATAAGATTTGGGGGACCACTGATAATTGAATTAACTGTAAATTAAATAACACTGAGATATTCTTCCCTACCCCATTCAGAGCGTCTGTCATGATTTTACATGATGAAGGATTCTTAAAATCGTGTTTTCTCTCCAGTTTTAATCTAAAATTTCCATTTCTCCTTTCCAATCCATTTTCCTCCTATCACACTAAATAAGTCTTCCTTCTGAGTGTTTGGCCCCTCAAATATTTGTAGACCAGGGCTGAAGAAAAGGCTGCCTGTTCCTCAGAGAGTGGAGAAATGATTAAACAGCAGTTCATGCATGTGAAAGTTGGCCCAGCTCTGCCAGGCGAGACAGGGCCTGGAGAAATGTGTTGAGCAAGAGCTGGGGTGACAAGTTAACACCACTACGGAGACCAGCAATGACTGAGGAGTGATTATAAAGCCCTTGGCCTGGCACGCCATGGGTGTTGTATAAATAACTGTTAAATATCATACCGTAAATTTTCTTAAATACACGAGTGCTCTGCTTCTGATAAACCATCGGTAACTAACAAACAGCCCTCAGGCTCATTCTCTTTTCCTGTTGCTCCCAAAGGAACGTGTTCTCGAGCCTGAGGTCCAGGTGGATTTGCATAAAATGAAAAATTATTCAGCTTCTACGTTCAGAAGAAGATCTGCTCCCCCACGTAGGTCCTAGTGTGAAGCCTGTTTTCCAGAGCTGACCTGACCAAAGCTCTAGGCTAGGGTGAATCTTCAGTGACCAACATACCGTTTCAAAAAACAAACGAACACACAAGAAGTATCAATTCTCTATAACAATGGTAATCATAGTAGAACAGCCACAGCAGCAGCAACAACTTGTTAAGAGCCATGAGCCAGGTGGTACATCTGCTGTTTAATTCCATTTTCACATGCCTGTCGGAGGTAGACAGCACTGTCCCCCTGATACAGGTCAGAAAACTGAATCAGAGAGGTTATATAATTTCCTGCTGATAACAGTTGACACGAAGCAGAATGAAGATTCAACAACTGGTCTGTCCGTACCCTTTACTCACCATACAGTATTAATTAGCCGGCTGAATGACTAACTTGAACTGATAAAATTCTCAGATAAAGCAGTCCTGCATGTGGCCATATCCATATAGTAAAGGTAAAATGTGGAAAAGGAATAAATTTAATGTGAATTTATTAGTAATGGTCAGGATATGATATTTGTTACAAATATATGTTTTGCCCTTAGTATTTCAAAAGCAACAAGCAGTTTGAAGCAATACTCCGTTTCAGTAAGACTTTGCTCTGTGAGATGTTCTAAGCTTGTTTGCGGAGTCATACTGTATGTACTACGAGGAAGCTGATCCATGTGAATGGCAGGATTTGAAAACCCTTCTTGGCACTGAAGGAATGTGGAAGGTGGCCCCGTTTTTATTCAGGAAGACCTTATTTTTATAGTCAGCTGGATTCTAGTCAGAAGACATAAGGACTCTGTTTATACCTGGAGGAAGGGGGTGAGGGGGGCAAGCCCAGCTCCGTGAACTATCATCTCCCACTGAACCAAGGAGTGTATTTGCATCGTAAATTAAACTGGCCACATGTGGTAGTTCCTAAGTAATTCCAGGTGCCTGACAGTTTGACCCAGGATGGGGGATGTAATTTTCAGCAAACTGGCCTTGGAAACCAAGGGGACCCTTCAGGCTAGAATCCACCCCTCCATGCCCCGTTCCCACGTCCCCTCCGGCTCCCTCCTGCCACAACAGTCTGAATCACACTGAAGGTAAAGGCAGGTGGGGGAGGGAGATCTTTACTAAAATATGGTTCCAACTGCCACCTACCCCTACTTATTTTTCTAGAAGGATTGCGTCAGCAAAGCAGATATAGTGGCATTTTAAGGTAGCTCAGAAATCAGGTCCATGGACTGGCAAATTGTTTCCATGCATGTCCTATTTACGTGAGAGCTCCAATGAGGCAATTGTTCTGTGTCTGGTCCACAACGATAGGTAACTCGGGGACACTAATGGAAACTGCTCTGAGAGCCATTAACCTGGCCAAACCTCTCTCATTTGAGGGCCATCTCTGAGAGGCTTCAGAGCAAGTCTTCTCCTTTAAGGGAAGGACTGCATTTCACAGGAATCACGGGCACCTCACTCCTAGCCCCTGGCCTGAGAGGAGCATCAGCATTTAACGGTTTCTAAGTATTTGGCAGCCCAGGGCAGCAGCTCACCCAGTTCTTCCAGCATCTGTACAGTGTGTGACAGTACTGGGTGCAAAGGCTCAAGAGTGCGCTTTTAGCCCAAAGATTAATTACAAATTCATTTCTTTCTGATTATTTTATACATGCAGTTCCTGGTTCTTGATCAAAGTCAAGAAAACCATAGGTATATTCAAAGAGTGATACACTAAGTGAAGTGACCATCAAAAGCTCTTGAAATCTTTCTGTTCAGTTTTGGTTTTGTGGCTATTCATACAAATACTTTCCCCCTCGCCACTCACTTTATATTAAACAGATAATGTGCACAAAGAGCAAATTTTTTTCAAATCAGTTATCTGACACCCAGGAACTATTACCTAGAAATGGACTGAGGACATGAGCTTAGGCTGAGCACGTTGAGAGGCAAAAGAAAAACTTTATGCCCAAGAAAAGAACAGAAAAGGAGGCAATCAAGTCTTCACAACCAAGAACAGAGCTGACCTGGGAAGGGTATGAAAGAAGACCAATCATAAAAGATTGGGTTTATTTTTTAAAGGATACGAAGGGTGACATTTAAGTTTGGGTTAACTGGCAGGAGCGATACTGAGTTAGCGTTAAATGGACCATAAGGAACACTAGGTTCCGTTGGGGTCTTAAGAGTTATGACTGTCATAATGAGACCAAACACCAGTGAGAAAACAACTTGTGGTTGGTTCTATTAAATGTAGAACAGCAATAAAGTTTTACGGTAGGGAAAGACTGAAATGAATGTGTGGTTGATGTACACACAAAAAGAGCATGAAATAAGGTACTAAAGACAAATTACTTGCAGAAGGTAAGAGTGGGGTAAGAGGTGAGATTAAAAATAACATTACATGAGTGTGTGATGATAACACGCCTTAAATATAACTCCTTTCACCCATATGTCATTTACAAAATGACTTGGAGGCATATGGGAATGTGAAAAGCACCCAGCAATGTCACTCCGCCAGCTCTGTGGCAGGAGCAAGTCGCAGGAGCTAATCAGCAGTGCATAGCAATGTTTCACAGCTGTTTCAGTCCGGAATGGAAGGGCAATTTATCTCATTGAAAGGCGAGGGAAATTTAAGGTGAAGGTAATTGCTCAAATTGGATTTTGAGCAAACACATACCACTAACGTCTGTGGGTCCGAGTAAGGTTACTGAAATTATCTGGGCATTGTTAATGACTAGAAGAAAATGGTGCTTCAGTTTCCTGTTTACACCATACAATGTTGACAAGCATCTCTAAAACATTACAGACAGAGAAAACGGATGGTTGAGAAAGCGAGGGAACCGGCCAAGAAAGCTCAGTGACTGTAAACAAGTAAGCATTTTAAAAAAGCATCACTACACAAGACCTGGATACTTCCACGTGCAAGGAGTGGAAAGTGAGGGGTGCGTTTTGAGTAGAAGTGAGATGGGAGTGGAGGAACCAGTGTGTTTTAGAGAAGCACATCATCTGTTGGAAGACAGTGCAGCAGCTGGGAAGGGTGATGAGGGGAAAGAAACAGAGATTAAGAGAAGTGGTCGGAATAGAAAAGACAGGATTCGAGAGCAAAGGACTCCGAGTGGCTGGCTGTGAGGCAGGGAGGGAGGCTCGCAGCGTCAGGACTCACCCGCGCCGTCGGCAGTGACGATCGCCTCGGGAGAGATGCACACGCCGCGGTCATACACCGGCAGCTCCTCGCAGGCCAGGCTCTCGGGCCACGAGTGGCGGTACTTGATGAGGATGGGCTCACAGCCCTGCCGGGCCCGCTCGCACACCGACTTGCAGGGCTTGATGGGCTCGTGCTGGAAGTCAATGGTGCAGATGGGCGCGTACATCGCGCAGAGGAAGAAGAGCAGGTCGGGGCTGCAGTGGGTGCCCAGCAGACCTTCGAACTGCTCGATGGCCAGGATGGCGTTGGCCTGGGTGCTGTGGTGCAGGTGGTTGGGCATCTTCGTCATGTTCCAGGGCAGGGACTTGCACAGGGGGATGCGGACAGGCTCGCAGGCTGCAGCCCGGGCTCCGGGCACGCGGAGCAGGCAGAGCGCAG